GTGTGTGAACCTGCTTTTGGAGGTATTTTTGTCTGTTGACTGCCTTGCACTTACCTCTCTGTGTTTCTAAGTACTGTTCTTTTCTGAATCTCACATTAAAACAGTAGGGATCCCCTCTTCCAAATAATTTTGAAAGAAAAACCCAAACATAAAAGAAAGAGGAATCTGAAGATGCAGGAAATAATTAAAGCACTGTTTTATTTCTGTCCTTACAGCAGAAGTATAAGTTTGTTTTCTCATGCCAGTCTGGGTGCTGGCAGACTGGTTTTATGTACACTGGTGCTCTTGGAATCAGAATAGTTTATGTTGGAAGGGACCCTTAAAGGTCATCTAGTCCAAATCCCTTGCAATGAACAAGAACACCTACAGCTAGAGCAGGTTGCACAGAGCCCCATCCAGCCTGAGCTTGAGTGTCCCCAGGAGCACAGGGCATGTACCACCTCTCTAGGCAACCTGTTCTAGCACCTCACCACCCTCTAACCTAGGCACCATTGTAACATATTGGGAGTTTCAGGGATAGGGGGATTTTGTGGCTTTGCTGAAACAATTTTGATGCTCTTCCTGTATTTCGGAAAATACTGTGATACAAAGAGACAAAAGCAAATATTTGTCATGTTTGAGCCCATGTCCCACTAAATGTGATTATTCAGCAGTTGTTACTGGAGTGTTACCAGAATGGAGGTTGGTTTGGACAACCACAGCCTATGCCATTGCCAGTGAAAATGGGAATAACACGTGCCAACACATCTTACAAAAGAAGGGCAAAGTTATGTTCTTCTGTGAGCTTTTCTGGGAATGACTAATCATTCCTTCCACAAGGACACCATGGTGTGTCTGTCAAAGCCTAAGCATTTTAGTTTTTTTAAACAGGGAGGAATGCATCCAATCCTTCTTGTAGCACAAAGGGATCTGTGAGCATTTCTCAGCAGCTGGGAGTTGCTAGGACCACTATAAATGTCAGCTCTGCAACAAAAAGTATTCATCTGGCAAGGAACAGTGTGTACCTGTACAGAAATCCTGGAGAGCTTTACAGAGAAGTGGTGCTTTACCTTTTAAAAGGAGTTAAGGCTCCTTTTTTGCCTGCAGTACTGGGCATCCTTTACTGGTGCTTAACCTGAAGAGATGCAAGTGGCTTGCAGGTTTATGAAAATTCATTAAAAAATAAAAATACCCAACTCCTACAGCTTGCAAGTGCCTCAATGACTTTCTTGTAGTGAGGGGCCCAAAACTTAGTACTCAAGGGTGTACTCCTACTCTAAGGAGCCAGGAGTGCCTTATGGCAGAGAGGAAATTCTGATTAGATAACAGGAGTTTTCCGGAAAATAAACAATTCAACTTTCATAGTGCTCCTAAGGTTACTGAGAGCAGAAGGACCAACAGGCTTCCTAACTGCTCTTCAGAACCTCTCATAGAATCATAGAGTAATTGCTGAAATCAGAGTTCTTTTCACCTTTGCATGGGCCTCAGCATCTACTATGCAAAGATCAGTTAAACTTCAGCGAAGCCTTCCCCCACCCTGTCCTTGCAGAGCAAGAATGGAAGTGGATGTGCCAATACTGCATGAGCGACACAGGACTTTTGTGCTGAAGGATGCTGCTTTTCTATTTAAAAGTCTCTGGAGACCAAACAGCTGGAAACTTTAACCTAGATGCATTTGGGGGGTTTATGATTAATGTCACGTGTTGCAAGCGATGGACTGAGCTGGAGGAAAAGAAACAGTTTATAGAAAAGCTGCTTATTTTTCTCTCCATTGCTGGAATCCTCTTCCTGTCTGTTTTCGTGTCTGTTGCAATCCGTGCTGTGCCAGTAACACACTGTTGTTTTCACATTCAGCAATCTCACATGTAACTCGGTCTGCCCTCTTCCCACATGCCGTCTGCTTTTGTTTTGCACTGTTTTGTACTGTGTTGTGCTATCCCACGTTCACTGGACCTGTAAGTCTCTCTGGATCCGTACATATCAACAGCTGTTTTGATGTGTGGATTTAGTGTTTCCACTGAGCCAAATATAGGCTTTATGTTGATAGCTGATAACTGCTGCGTCTGATGTTTAAATAACCAAAAGAAAGGATGTCAGGGTATTTCGGGAGATCAGCCCTTCCCCCTCAGCCCTTTGCAACAGACAGACACAGCCTCTCACTGTTTCTATGTATTGCTTCATTAAGGGCTCCATTCATCCTATAAACAACACAGCTGCTGACCAGTGTTGGGGAAAGAGAAAGAAAAAAAAAGGCTTTTGATTGCAACTGCCAAACAGTCCAATGTCTGTTCCCTGCAATCCAGCATGGGGATCTTTTGCTTACCCAGCAGCTACCAGGGGCCAGAGCAGAGCTGTTATTTGACGGTAATTAAAGAAGCAGCCCTCACAGCCCTCACCCTGTGTACATCAGGCACTGGACATAAACATCATGGAGCAACCCCAGAAGAGACCAGAGGTTGGGAAAGCTGTTACAGGTAGCTCTTCCTTCCCACACAGCACCTAATGCACTCACCACTACTCTGGTGAGCCGTGACCCACATAAGAGCTGAAAACAGTCCTTGGGTGACCCGCCATGCACTGCTATTCCTTGTGGCTGAAGTGGATTATGATATTCAGGTCAAGGTCAGTGCGTGAAGAGTGCTGGGGGCAGGGAAGAGCTTTTTACTGGGCGATTGCACTCAGTGAGAACTAGGGCAGCTCTGTACACACCCTACAGCCATAACTAATGGCTCTTGGAAGAATGTAAGACTGCTAGCAGCCTGGATTTCATAGAATCATTGAATTAAGGCTAGAAAAGACTACTAAGATTATCTAGTCCAAACATCAACCCACCACCACCATGCCCACTAAACCATGTCCCTCAGTGCCAAATCTACCCCTTTTTTTTAATATCTCCAGGGATAGTGACTCCACCACTTCCCTGGACAGCCATTTCCAGTGCCTTACCAACCTAGACCTCCCCTGGTGCAACTTGAGGCCATCACCTCTCGTGCTATCACTGTTAGCTGGGAGAAGAGCCCAATCCTGGCCTTACAACAGCATCCTTTCAGGGAACTGTAGAGATAAGGTCTCCCCTGGGGTTCCTGTTCTCCAGACTGAACAATCTCAGTTCCCTCAGTTGCTGTTCATAAGACTTGTGCTGTAGACCATTCACAGCTTTGTTGCCCTTCTTTGGATGTGCTCCAGGGCCTTGGTGTTCCTCCCATAGTGAGAAGCTCAAATCTAAACACAGAAATGGAGCTCACCAGAGCTTAGAACAGAGGGACAAACACCACCTTGGTCCTACTGACTACACTGGCAGTCTTTGGCTGTGTGTGTGCATGTCCCTGCAAGCAGCAAGGTGTACAGGGCAAGTGCAGCTGCCAAGCCGAGGTTCCAACCCACATGGTGGTCCTGTTGTGTGACAGGACTTCGTGTGTGACAGCAGTGGTGTTACCCAGCTGTTACACATCACTGACACTCATCTTAGTAGGACCTGGTGAAGCTGCCCCACGGAATGGTGCCACCCAGCCCATCACGCACCAGTGAGGCTCCTCTTGGTCTCTTTGCCCTACCTCACACCTACACTTGCATCTCCCCACCTGGGAAAAGTCTCTGCTCAACCAATTGCAGTGTGGTTTCATTTAATATTAATGACAACTAAGGAACAACTTCAAGAAGGCTCACTCCTTTACTACCAGCTGACAGCACTAAACCTTGATCCCACAGTCATTCCCTCTCCACTGCTCAGGTTGGGCTTTGGTTGTGGGGAGTCTCATAGCAGTAGAGCCCACCATGGCTGTCAGTACTTGATTTGGAAAGTGCTTAGAGGCAATGGTTTTCCCAAGCTAGTCCAAATACAGTGGCTGAGAAAGCAGCCAGGGTGCCCTCCATGCAAGGCAGTATGCTTGGAAGCTGACAGACATGCAAACAGAAGAAACATCAGTCAGATGGGACTTCTGTAGGAAATGTGTTGCCTTTGCTGAAGTCTCTTGCTGAAATGTGTTTAAGTTGAAGTGGAGTTCCTTTCACATCCAAACAGGCATAGTGAAGGAGAAGGCTGGGAGGAGCTTTCTCAGCTAATGCTCCAGTAGCCATAAGTAAGTCCCACAAGTCCTGGAAAGTGTTTTAAGTTCCCACTGGACCAGGAAATCCCCTTTAGATTTGTGGGAAAATTCTGAAAATCTTAATATGACGACAATTTAACTTTCCTAGCACTAAATGATGGAATCTTTTCTGAGCTTAGCTGTGGGCTTTTCTGGGCGAGCATGTGAGCTGGGGTATGGAACAATGATTCTTTAATTAAAATGTGTTTCTCCTTGTTTTTAATAACCTCGTTTAAACCATTTGTGTCCATACTGCTTGTTGCAAACAGATTATTCTAGCTTCTTAAGAGAGATAACAAAAACGTTATGCTTAGGCAGGTTGATTAAAACACTTAACTTTGCTGAAGAGCCTACACAAGCTATCCCAAGTTCAATAAGAATACTTCAGAAGAAGAAAGAAAGAAAGAAAGAAAGAAAGAAAGAAAGAAAGAAAGAAAGAAAGAAAGAAAGAAAGAAAGAAAGAAAGAAAGAAAGAAAGAAAGAAAGAAAGAAAGAAAGAAAGAAAGAAAGAAAGAAAGAAAGAAAGAAAGAGAGAAAGAGAGAGAGAGAGAGAGAGAGAGAGAGAGAGAAGAGAGAGAGAGAGAGAGAGAGAAAGAGAGAAAGAGAGAAAGAGAGAAAGAGAGAAAGAGAGAAAGAGAGAAAGAGAGAAAGAGAGAAAGAGAGAAAGAAAGAAAGAAAGAAAGAAAGAAAGAAAGAAAGAAAGAAAGAAAGAAAGAAAAGAAAGAAAGAAAGAAAGAAAGAAAGAAAGAAAGAAAGAAAGAAAGAAAGAAAGAAAGAAAGAAAGAAAGAAAGAAAGAAAGAAAGAAAGAAAGAAAGAAAGAACTCTAGAGCCAGTAGAGCCAGCAGAGTCAGAAACAGGCCTGCAAATGAGGACATGTAAGCTGGGGAACACTTGGCATTCCCAAGCTGCCAAAATATTCACACTGAAGGAACTCCCCTCAGAACATCTTTCTTTTCCACACTACTTTATTTTCATTTTTTGCAGTTCCTACAGCTCAGGGCTTTGTCACAACTTGCAAGCTCACACCTGGATGCTGGTCAGATGAGGGGACTGGAAAATGAAAAAGAAAAGTCCATGGTAAACATACTTCATCTTTTTTTTGCTTGCCTAAGCTTCCAAATGAGGTGTCAGTCATATATTCATTAACCATTTGCCACTTATGAGATTATTTAATATATTAAAACCACAGCAGCAACATGCCACCCACATAACCTCACCATGGTTCCGTATCACAGAATTGTAGAATCACAGAATTGTAGGGGTTGGAAGGGATCTCCAGAGATCATTGTGTCCAGCCCCCCAAATAACATGTGCTTGTGGTTGGTGTAACTCAGACTAACACACCAAACCAATCTGTTTTTCCTATTATTTCTTCATATATTTCAGCATCTGAAGCTCACAGAAATATTTCTGCAGGACTGCTGAAATAAAGAAGTAGCAGTCTGAAAATGTATTTGTTTGGATATTTGCTTGCTTGCAGTTAATGAGAGTTTTCCATTTCCATCAATTTAATAAACTGCTTATCTTAAAATTCATTTTAAAAAAAAATGGGGAAAAAAACCCACAGGGTTTAATTCACTGGATGACTCAGAATTTGAGTGTTGCAGTCCTGACGCATGACATACATACAGCACAGTCCTTGTGAATGCATTAAAAATGAAGCAACTGCACCACACCCTGAAAGCATGCTGAAATAGTGTTTTAGATTCTAGTCAAAGCTCCATTCAAAGATATCTTGTAAGTTACGTGCTTGTTTCTTTCCATCCTTCAAGGAGTAGTTCCCAAACATAGCATCTTGAGCTGCCATATAGACACTGGAAAAGCCCCTAAGGTAAACAAAGGGCTATGGGTACTGGAGCATTGCCATTTGCATCAGAGTCTCATACTCCATCCTTCTCCCAGTCTGCAAGGCCAACATGATGATCATTATGGGCAGGGTGTGGGTCAAACAGTCTCAGCTTAGTCTGCATTGCAAAATCCTCACTCTCATCTTTTTTCAAGCCTGTTTCTGGAGTGCTGCACCAAATGGGTCTGGCACCAGCTCACAGCCTGACATCTCCACAATGGTATTATTGTTGCTTTTTTGGATGATGACACCACTTTCAGGTCCCAGCAGAGACCTGGGCCCATTGTGCAAGGCACAGTACAGATGCAAAGTGATCATCAGTTCCTGTTGATGGAAGAGTTTTCACTAAAGGCAACAAACACTATAGCTTTGTTCTGGCCTCACTAATGAAGGACTGAGGATAAGCAAAGCAGAGGGCTGAATCCTCCAAGGTCTTGGAACGCCTTGCTCCTCATCTTATGTAAATAGTAATCCCAAAGCTACTTTTGTAAAGTTACATGACTTGCTCAAGTTCAGAGAGAGCCAGTGAACCAAACCTAGAGGTCTTAACCCTAGCACTAATCTTCCTGTAAACATCATCCCTTAAAACAAAGGAGTTTAAAGCACCATAAACTGCAAGTCAGGTGCATTGGCTAAAAGAGTTACCCATCCCATCCATCGTCACTGCACAGAAAAGCAGTTGCACCACCAGCAGCAAAGCTAACGGTGCTTGGTTTCCTATAGATCCGTGTCCAGTGACTCAGAAATTCCTTTAGAGAAGAGTAATAGCCATTACTTCCCACCTGGGATACCTTCAGCACTCCCTTCACCACTGCAATTCATTTCCAAATGACAGATGTGTTCAAAATGTTTTAATGCTGCTGTTGGGCCATCCCTACAGTTGCCCTGGCTTCCTGGCAGATGTGTACGAGTGTGGTAGGAGCAATGTGCTGGTCCTCTCCTCTTCCCTGCTGTCTCATTTCATCTTTATTTCAGGAAAGAAAATGCTTCTCAGATCTTTACTCTTCCGTCTACTTCGTTTGACATTTGCTACCAACAGAGTGACTAATAGATAAACAAATGCATATGTCTTGTTCCCTTAGGAAACCATGACAGAAACAGAAACATCTTGGGTTTTTAGGGAGAGATCTGTGGTTTCTAGGCATTCATTTCACTAAAAGCCAACACACACTGGAGCTGTTGGTCATGCATTAGCTTACAATAGCTTCTTTTATCTCTCAATGAAATCTGTGTGGTTCAGCCACTGCAGCAGTGGTGGTTACAGTGTTAGCTAATTGCAAAGCTAAGCAAGGGTATTGATTGCCATAGCTTTGGGTCTGTGTATTCACCCTATTTTTTTCTTGCTCTACCTGTACTTGTATGAGAGAAAGACATACTGTAGATGGAAATATGTTATATACACACTCTGTTTTATGCACCGTGTATTTCATGATAGGAATATATATACGTAATTATATACATATATATTCATGGATATGTTCATAAATGTTCCATATATAAAATACGTAACATATTGCATGCAGCATCATATGTGTGCATGTATATAAGACAAATATATACATATTCCTATATACACCCCCTATGTAGATATGCACAAACATATATGTATGTATGTATATGTGTACACACACACACACACACACATGTATATATACATATACATAATCCAAATCTAGAACATGGTCCAAATCATATTCAGGGAATCTTACTGAGTTCCTGGGATGACCTCTCTATCAAGAACCTCAGTGCAAACCATTCCATCTTTTGGAAAATATTGCCAACTTCTTGGCTGAAGTCTCTTTTTCTTATGTCCTCACTGACCATTTTTCCAGGTGATGATGTTTAAAATGTGACATGCCCAGTCTTGCAAAAGTTGAGCTTCAGTTTGCGTTGAGCTTTGGATTAAGGAATATGCTATCTCTATGGGAGAATGTACACATCAAATCCTTGTACATAACACTGTTCTTGAACTTTAGTTTTGAAGATTTACAGCATTTTTCCTGTATGTTTTTACCTACAGATTGCATTATTTTCATCCTACTCACAAGAAACATTAATTTATCATTAGTCAGAAAGATTTATGTCTCTTGGGAACTAGTCTAGCTTCCTCTAGCTTATCAGGATGAAGACAGACAACTTGCTATTTGGAACTAAAGCAAAACAAATGACTAATTTCAAACAGTTTATCAACTGAAGTTCAGACCTTTGTGGGTCCAGGCCCCAGTCCACTCAGTGGTTCTCCTGTGTCACCAGCGAGTTCACAAGCAGACACTGAAGTTTCCCATGCAGAAATGTATTTCTACTGCTCTGCTCTCTCAAGTGAAGCAGTTGGTGAACTTGTCATGGTGCATGGGATCTGTACCTACAACTAACTCTCAAAAAACTGACTCCAGTACACTTTGGTGACAAGAAATATGTTGTCTGAAATTGTAACAACAGGACTATGCTTTACTCTTACCTAATATTCTAGTGTGAAACCACTTTAAACATCATTTTATTCTAAAAAGCAATCCATTTGTGACTGATGTATCATTGGTTATGCCAGAAACTCTCCTTTCATATGAACTCATCCACAGAGCTAATGGGAAGACTAACACATGCATGTAATGCCTTTCCTTTACCACAGGTGTTTCTCTTCATCTCTCATCTGACTCTCTACAGCTTCTCCTCAAAGTCTGCAACACTGACCTATGGCAGTAAGTATAAGTGGGCAAGAGACTCTGTCCTGTAGGCATGAGCTCTGGAGTACTCATTTTGGATTCAGAGCATTCAGGCTGTTCAAGATGAGAGCTGGTAGCAAAACTGTGAAAATAACTCTGGCACAAGATTCCCCAGGAGATAAATAGGAGCTCAAGAAGTGTGGAGCACAGAGGATCTTTTACCTATACTAGTGCAGTGAAACAGGGACAGCACAGAGGAACATTCTTCTCCTAAAGGTCTTCCCATGGATCCATAGTAGTGGGATCTAAGGGAGAATGACAGAGGAGAACTTCCTGGGACTGTTCTCTGTGTGTGACAGAGAACAGATCAAGTACAGAGGGTCACTAGCATCAAAGGCTGAAATATTATGGGGAAAATAAATTACATATAATAATGCTCGTTTTTCATATTAGATTATATTATTCAAGAAACAATAGTAAAGATGTCTCAAGCTCATGTCTAAGTTCCTGACAGCCATACTTTTGCTCTCATACAAGTGTAATGCTCTTTCTTTTGGACAGTGAAACTGCTGGGCTAATAAGTTCCAGTGCCAGCAAGACTGTTATTTAAGTCCTGGAGTCTGCTTAGAAGAATTTCTGGCTACTCTTAATGGATGGAGGTCTGTTAAGAGTTGAAAACCCTGCTTGTTCAAAGCCTTTCTAAAAACAGTGTGGCAAAACAAGGAAATTTAACATCCTAACTCAGGAAAAAACAAATTGTACATTGGCATTGGATGAAAGATTCTCCTTTTATTTTAAAACCTCTGTAAAATCAGAGCAATGGGTCAATTCCAGCATTCAGCCAATTTAATTAGCAATTTCAGAGTAATCGTGGTAATGAGCCAAGTCGGCAAAGATGTCATTGGGGTTCTTGCAGTTCAGGTTGCAAAAACAAGCATTGATCCACATGATTTTCCAGGAAATCTCAGTTCCATCTGGGCACTCAAACCTCACTTCAATAGTCTTGGACTTGTAGGGTGTGCAGCACCTGTTGTCTGTGCAGATACCACAATATTTGGGTCTATAAGGACTTTTGCTCACGCATCCCGAGATGGTGTAGTTCATGGGTTCATTGGCCCTGTAGACAGCCAGGCACTTCTTCCCAGGCTAAATCAGGGAACAGAAAAAGAGACTGATTAATACTCATTGCTTCAAACTGACACAGGGAGATGAAAACCACCTCGCCAAGGTTTATGGTTTAGTGGACATGATGGTGATGGGTTGGTAGTTGGAGTAGATGATCTTAACATTTTTTTTCCAACCTTAATGATTCTATGATTCTATGAAGCTGCTAAAAGTGTTTTACAGACTGGATCTAGAGGTGTGACAGGTGGACACATCTAAACATGAATCCAGAAGCTGCAAGTAGGATACTTGCAAAATACAATTTATAGGCATGACCAGCAGTGCAGCATCACTTTTCTGCTAGCTGAGCCTCAGATCTGCCTACACCAGCAGTGAGCAGAGCAGGCTTGGCTTGCTTTTCCTTGTAAGGAGCTTTTGGATAAAGTTAAAGCTCTCAGGGGAAGGTTTCCATTCCAGCATGTGAAAGCACAGGAGGGGATATTTTGACCTCTCTGCAGCACAGTAAGTCCGCGTGCGCTCACTAATGGCCTCTGAGTTCAGAAGTGCAGTTCTCAGAGGCCAGCACACTAGCAAACAAAGGCTGGCCTCATGTCCAGACAAAGCTCAAGGGAAGCACGAAGAAGTGGTCCCCACCTTAATGTGCTTGGTGATATCCACCTCGCAGGGCCGCATGTTGCACAGGCGGCTTTCCTTCAGCAGCCGGCACTGGTCGTTGTCGTTGGAAATCCTGGTGGAGATGCCCAGCCCGCAGGTCTTTGAGCAGGGACTCCAGGGTGAGGTGTGAACGATGCAGTTCTTCTGCCAGGCTTCATCCTCCCCCTCGTATGCTATAGGGAACAGATTATCATATATTACTCAGCCAGGCAGCTTTCTGTATTAAACACCCTTGCTCAAGCTCATTACCCATTCAGGCCACTAACCCAAATAATTAAATCACAACGGAGCAGCTCAGCATCCCCACGAAGCTCCGCTTGCTTTTTTACCTCCCCATCCCACCCCCTTTGCCACTGACCTACTTGTGTCAGCCCCTCCAGCACTGTGAGCTCTTGGGGCCGGAGCTGATTTCTCTATTTCTCTTTACAGCCTCACACAAGGAGGTCCTTGTCTGGGCCCCCAGGTGCTATCACAATGCAAACACTTCATCACAGAAGTTGGTGCAGAGAAGTAATGAGATCTGATCGCACCATGAAGGGTTATGATTTCTGAGTCCATTCAATTGATTCCCTGTAGCAGAAAGTTGCTGACAATCTTTGCTGTATGGCTGAGAGGTCTGGGAAGCAGCCACCGCCTTTCATTGGAAGGAAGAGCAGCTTGAATAGCTCACAAGGAACTTGGGAACCGCTTAGAAAAGGGTGGGCTCTGTTTTGAAAGGAGCCATTGACCTCAGGGCAGGTTCCTTCACAGTCTCTGTAAAAGTCTCCACTGGTCTGCAGCTCACAGCATGGCTCTGGTAGAAACTCAGCTGTGCTGAGCATGCTCATTATAATACTAGCTATCAATTTTAAAATGCTATTTTAATAATTAAATCAAATATAATAAAAGATAACCCTACTTCTACTTCTAAGATAAAAAGTTAGGCAGGGGAAGCTGTGCTATGCCCATTTGTATGCTATAGTCCATGCAGAGAAAAGGCACATTTCAGTAAGAGATGCTTTAAATTTGGATCTACTTTGCAGCTGAGAGATACCAAGGACAGAAGTGAGTGATAAAATCTGGTGGTTTTAATCCACAGAAAAGAGACTAAAGATTTTTCAGGAGTTGGATTTGATGATACTTTATGGGTCTCTTCGAACTCAGGATATTCTATGATTTTTTTTATTTTTATTTTTTTGGACAACAAGGATGGAGAAAAAATGTATGTATCATCAACGGAAAAATAACCAAGTTCCCTGGCCTACTGCAAACAACCTGTGTCTCCTTGAGCTCTACTTTTGTGACATATTCTGTGGAATGATGTGACTCACGTCTGTACATTGCTTCACAATGTTATGAGGATAAATGTATGACACATGGCAATGGAAACACACTGTAAGATTTAGAGACCATGCAAGTGGCAAATGGTACCACATCTGTTCAGAGAACTATATGATCCTCACTGTGAATGTGAGTGTGAGGGAAAAAGATACCTTATATGATACATAACGTAAGGTGAATAATGACATTGATCCAAGTGAACATAGCTGCAAAAACCTATAGAGATACAAAGACATTTTTGCCTAAAATTTCTAGTGAACCTTTCACCACAATATTTCAAAGCATATCTGAGTTTGGGACTATTAAGGGGCTTTAAAAATGTATTACTAATGCAGTACCAGCCAGAAAGAAACTCTCAGTATCAAATTAAAATGAGATCACTTTGCTTTTCAGAGGTCCAGACAGAGAAAAAATGGTGAAGTAAAAAGGACTTGTGACATCTTACAAGTGCCAGCAGTGTGTTTATTGTCACACAAGCATGTCTGATCAATCTCACGTTGCTGCTCAGGAGGTAAAGCACCCCGCTGCTGTATATGTGTCCTGTCCTTCACTACAAGTCATCTAAGAGTGTCTGTGCCTTGTTCACACAAATACAAGACACCTGTCAGGCCAGACAGTGCAAACTAATAATTTTGTTGCTGACACTGACTTCAATTCATGACAAGAGGTAATGGCCTTAAGTTACAGCAGGGGAGATACAAGTTGGGTATTAGGGTACTAATTTCTTCTCAGAAAGCGTGGTGACATAGTAGAACAGGCTGCCCAGGGAGATGGGGGAGTCACTGTCCATGCAAGTGTTCAAGAAATGTAGAGAAACGTGGCACTGAGGGACACAGTTTAGTGGGCATGGTGGGGATGGGTTGATGGTTGGACTAGATGATTGTAGTGGCAGCTTCCAACCTTACTGATTATATGATGCTATGGTTCAGTTCCCTCATTACTAAGGAGACATCCACCAAACTCTCACCATACCTGCAGAAGAGATGTGACGTGGAGAAGTCTTCCTGATTTTCTTGGAGTCATCACAAACCCACTGCTCACAGCACTTCCCTGCCATCTTAATCAGTTTTGGGTTCGGGCACCAGACAAGGGGGGGGCGTGAGTTTGTGCACATGGGAATGCAGCCCACGGCCCCATTAATGCATGTGCAGTTGTATTTGCAGTTGGGCTGAAATGTGTCCCCATTATTATATCTGACTCCATTGAGGACACATCCTACACCGACAATCTCTGAAAGGAGAGAAGAAAAAGACACACAAAGCACCATTACAATAATGCTGTCAATGAACTGTGTTAATGTATTCCTTTTAACGCACTCTGAGGTGCATTAAAAAGAGTGTGGCCAGCAGGCAAGGGAGGTGATCCTTCCCCTCTACTCTGCCCTAGTAAGGCCACATTTAGAATACTTGGTTCAGTTCATAAAAGATAGGGATCTCCTAGAAGGGATCCAGCAGAGGGCCACAAAGATGATAAAGAGCCTGGAGAATCTCCCATTTGAGGAAAGACTGAGTAACCTGGGTCTGTTCAGCCAGGGTAAAAGAAGACTGAGAGGGAATCTGATAAATGTTTATAAATATCTACAGGGAGGTAAGAGGCAAATGGATGAGCCTAGGTTCTTCTCAGTGGTGTGTAGCAATAGGACAAGAAGAAAAGGCTTAAAACTTGAACATGGGAAGTTCCATACTAACAGCAGAAGACCTTTATAGGAAGGGTGACAGAGCACTGGAACAGGTTGCTCAGAGGGATTATGGAGTCTCCTTCTATGGAGATATTCAAGATCCATCTGGATGCCTACCTGCGTTATCTATTGTAGGGTCTCCCCTTAACAGGGGGTAGGACTTGTGATCTCTAGAGGTCCTTTCCAAGCCCTGCAATTCTGTGATTTACCAAGCTGCTCTCTGAGCAAAAGGAGGCAACATAGGGACATGTCAGGGCTG